AGACGAGAATAAGGTTCAAATCAGAAAGAAGTTCTTTGCTCCTGCTAGCAAAAGACAATGGCAGGCGAAGGCGGATACGACCATTTCCAACTCAATGGAAAATAATGACATTCAAACTAAGGAATCGAAACAAAAAACGGAAAAATATGTTTTATTACTTTATTTTGACGGATGGCAACGGAAATGGACATCCAAATCGATTAAAAACAGCCACCTGATTTGTGGGTAAGTGCATGACGAAATCTTCTGACGTCACAAGTAAATCTAAGAATATATCCGTTTAACTTTTGACGCAATGACATGGGAGGTGTTGCTATGGGAATATGAATTAAGCAAAATAAAGGATTAATATTTTTCTAGGATTTCACTGTCGAGACCTGCTTTACTTTGTCCTCATTACACTATTTACACTCAACATAAAAGAACTTTCTTCAAAATATTTACACAGAAGCGAAGGAGGAAGTCTGAAAAAAAAAAACCAAAACAGATCGATATACCCACTAAGTCATTTTAAATTCTGATTCTCTAGAGGAAAAATAAAAGATTTAAACTTTTTATTTTTATTTTTCATGAGTTTAGAAAAATCATATCATCAGGTAGATTTACACCGTTTATAAAGAAGTAAAATTTCGAATTGTGTTTATTTTTATTTGGGAATTAAATATATTTTAACACAACTGTTCCCAAAAAGTGTTCCGCGGTACCCTATTGTTTCTATGAAGGATTACAGGTGTTTTGAGAGTGATAATGTTTTTTTTTTTAACCAGAAATATTTATATTTATTATCCAATCAATTATCCACATTATTTAATACAAGAATCTATAATTTATTAATATGAAATTATTTATGTAATGCCAACGAAGGATAGAAAAATCTCAAAAAATATTTATTTCAATAACATAAAGGAATGAATTATGAAAAAAATAAGCATTTATAAAAATCTCCATAAATATTTCTCCTCAAGCTTTTCAATTAAAAATAAAATAACCAATAGCAAAAATTAAGATAATTACAATTGATATAATTTCGAGAAGTGAAAAATTGTTAAAACAAAATAGCAATGAACTGAAAAAAGAAATAAATAAATTGATGAAATGCTGTTGATAAGCAGGGAGAAATTTTTAATAGGGTTTCGACAAATTTTAAGAATTGCAAGGACCAGAAAATTTTATTTTTCCTTAACTACCACCAAACGATTTTCCGAAATAATCAAGTGAATTAAAGAAATATCAGTACAATCTATTACACAAATAAATTACATAACACCATAATAAATTATTGTATCTTTGGGAATAGGTTCCACTGGAAAAGTAATTCTGTTTAGATGTCCGTAAAACCTGTTTTCCAGCAAGAACAGTCTTTCAGCAGAGAAAGCATCTCTTTCTTTTTTACACATTTGGGTTTGTATTCATTGGTACTTATAATTAGGGATAAATAAAATTTCTTTAAGATTCCTAAATTTAAATATACTTGATGTAGGCATCGGTTTGAAAAAAGAAGGAAAAAAAAACAGTTGAAAAAAGTTAGTGACGTCGTCGTTTGATGCCAGATCATCAACTTTTAATTATATCTCAAGGTAATATGATGTTTCAAAGTGTTATCGAAAATTTTTTTTGTATAATTTTATGTGAATTTTCAATCGTGAATGTGTTTGTTAAAAGTTAATGAATTTTGATAGTGGTTAGGGGCGCTTTATGAAAAAATCGGATATTTCGTCAGAGAAATAAGAGATATTATAATTTTGATATGTGGTTTTATTCGTTTATTTTCAGGAATTATTTACGGAGAAATTTTGATTCGTAATAGGAATCTTATCGTTAAATAGAACCTTTCATAAATAATGTATCATTCAAATAAAAAAAATTTACATGAAATTAGGCATTTACGCGAATAAGATGCTATTTTCATAACTGCTGTGAGATCGCAACAGTTATTCATAACTGTTACGTCAAGTTTAGGCTATCTAAAACCAGCGTCTTCCATACTTATTTTGAAAATGGCGCAAAACGTCAATTTAAGGAAAAGCGACGGTTTTTGAAATTGAAAAGTATTAGAGACATAATTTCTAAATATATAAAAATTGACTCCAACGCTGCATTATCAGGGCTTATACAAATTTTTCAAAACAAATTATTCACTGACTTAGATAGTTTTCATCGATACTCCGTTGCAAGTTAAGAAAAGACCATTGCGGTATAGGATTTAACCGCGACTGCATATAGTTTATTTCGTTATCAAATTGTACAAATAAACTTTCAAAAAATTATATAGGCTTTAAAAAATTAAACAAAAAAAAATTTTAAACACGTCAGGCAGAAATTTAATTCGTGCTATCATTTACGATATATACCATAGGATAGTATTCTTTCTTGAAAAAGAAACAACTATATGACATAGCAATAGCTTTAGATTTAATTGGATTCAATAAGTTTTGCTTTCCTCATTTTTTACGATTTGAGAAAGCAAACAAAAAGAAGGTTGCGCAACGTCGTTTCAAGAGTTGGCGATATTCGTTCGGGCCTGGCATTCATTTGGCATGCACTTAGATGCAAACAGGCTCTCTCCATAGCGAGAACGGTTTTTTCTTTATTTGCAATAAAGTATAGGTGGACAAATAAAGCGAAATTGACAATTTCTAACTAAAAATAATAATAAAAAAATTAATACATTTTAAAATATTTGAGTAATTTATCCATTCTCGAGCCCAGATAATTTAGACAGGATGGTTTACAGTTCATTAAAAATTATAGCTTTGTCTTCGAAACTCATGAAATCCGTAAAACCAATTTTCCAACAAGAACAGCCTTTCGGCAGACAAAGCAAGATGTGACGTGACAACGAGGGTTTTTTTTCCCTACGGTTCATAGAGGAACGAAAATCGATTTTCGCAGTCAAAAAATGGTAAAATTAAAAGATTTTCATGAGTTACTTTTATCGTGTCTTTTTTATGCACAAGAAATGTGATAGAGAACTTAATTTTGCTATGAAATAAATAATAAGTGCAATAAAATTCAGATAATAAATTAAATCTGAAAAATATTAGATTGATTTTTATTTGATTGGATTAATTGATAATTAAGCCAAGTTGGCAAACTTTGGCAGCTATTTGTATTCTTTTAAATTGCATATATAAAAAATATAACATATTACAAAGAGATTACATATGTCAATTACTTTCATTCGACAATTATGTTAGATTTTTTTTAAAGCCCTTTCGAAATATAAGGTTTGATTCTATAATTTAGCCATGCAAATGACTACATTATTAATAAAATTTATTAAAAACCTTTTTTTCATTTATATATTAGAAGGTCATTAATATAAAACATATATTTAATTTCTGATAAATATTCCCAGCGTTTATTTTATTCAAATAAACATAGCTCAATTTTCCAGGTTAACTTAATCTGAACTTTATTGCACTCATTATTTATTTAATAGCAAAATAAAGCTCACTATTGGTGATAAGTCCTAGGGCATTTTACAGAAGAAAAAAAAGAAGAAAAGAAAAAAAATATCTTAAAAATAACACTTGAAAACTCATTATTTTCGTCTCTCGATGCAGTTGGAAAAAAAAAAGAATGTGACAAAATCATTATTTAATATCAAACCGTAAGTTTCTAATAAACTGTGTAATTATGTTTNCAATGGTTTCACAAATTTTCTTATGGCATGTATTGTTTTGATAAATCACAATTGAAAATTTAAATCTTCGAGTTAGCTTCGATACCTGTTTTATCCGAGCGGAGCTCGGTCACCCGCTGGTATAATTTTAAATAAAGTTTTAGTCATGCATTTGATGGGAAAGAGTAAATGAATTTATTTGTGAATTAATTCATTATTGAATAAATTTTTTTATTTTGTGCTGCTCTACATAACAATCCCATATTTTGTCGCATTGATACGCGGTTTGATTCGTTTATTTTTATGAATCATTTATAGAAAAATTTAAATCCGTTAACGGATCATTCGCAAAGTTTTTTTTTGTTTTTTTTTGTATAATTTAAATGGATCGTTTACAAAATATTTCATCTTAAAAACGGGCCCTTTAAAATATTTTCCATTTTTAAAAGAGACTCCTAAGCAAAATGTTTCTTTTAAAAAAGGAAAAGATAATGTTTTTAATTAACCATAATTTTGAAGCTACAGCTCTTGAAAAAATCAGTTTCTGTGTTTTGTTTCCTTCACAAATTTAGTAAAACAGGAACCAGACAGAAAGAACCCGAGTTTAAGTTAATTTTAGTCTTAAAATATTATGAGTACGTTTCTTCCTAATTTAAAAAAAACAGTAAACTATTTTCAAACATTCCAATTATCACGAGAAGATTTTTTTACTATTTCACAAAAAACAGAACCTTTTTCAAAAAGTCTAGAATAACTCCCGATTTTAATTAGGAAATGTTTTTTGAATTGTCAAGTTAATTAAAATAGTGTCAGTACAAGAATTTAAAAATCTTGTGATTCTTATTTCAATCAATTTATTTTGCAACAGGGGGGGGAAGAACGGTTAATACCCATAAAAGGTGAATTGGAGAAGAAGAAAAAAACGTTTTTGCGCTCGAAAAAGGTTTTTCCACAGTACGACCCATCTTCAGTTAGTAATAACTCTTGGGGAGAACCGATTTTTTGAGTTATTGTTTTTCAATACTTAGCAATCCACAAAATGCAACAGATTGTGATCCAATCGTTATTTTTGCGAAAAATGGATATAAACCGTTCTTATAGTCTTCGATTTCAATCCTTTGCAAAGGGGATGTCTCCTCCCATTGAAATGTCCGGCTATTTGCGCGCGAAGTCCAGCACTTAACAGTAGAACAGTTTAACGAGGGCTCTTCGCATGTTGATCAAAGTGGTCATCCAGTGATGCTTCACTTTGGTGATCTAATGGAAATTGTGTCTTACGATCTGTCTACAGTAAGACTAAACGATTTTTTAAAATGAAAAGAAAGAGTTCTTGAAAAATTGCAAAACAGTATCTGATATTTTGAGTAGAACTCACCTCTTTGTAGATGCGGTACTGGTCGATAGCCCAGACGGTGGGTATATGTGTGGTTAGGAGCTGGCTGAGCGTGAGCCGAGCGTTGCATGCCCTGGCGCATATAAGACGTGTCTTGCCCACTGCCGTGTCTCCCACCACCACGCATTTGACGTGCTCTTGATGTGGCTGCTCATTATCCATCGCATTCCATATCCCTCACTCGCCCACTCTTTATCACCTCATTCACTACCTACAAAGAGAAAATAAATACATCAATATTTAATTAAGAATGCTTTGGTGTTGCTTACAAATGTGTCTAATCGCACGAACTATGTTTGGGGGAAATTTTTGGTCCAATTAAAAAAATTTAATTGCGACAAAAACTTTTTAATTTAAAAAAATGTGCCGCTTCACAAAATTTTCACAGTTAATTCAAGAATTGTGTTTTTCATTTTATTAAAGAAAAAATTATTATAAAAAATACACTAACCATATACAAACTTTATTTTCTAAAACTATTTTGAAAAAGTTTTTGTAACTTATGAAAACAAATGCGCTATAATTTTAGAGGAAATTTAAAACCAAATAAGTTGCGTTCTGTGGAAATATAAGGCACTGAAAATTTCCTTCACTCCTGGCTGAAATGAGGAATGCGATAAAAGTGTTCAAGCGTTAAGTATACCTCATCGATGACATAAAAAAGCATTATGATTATGAATGATTTATAAATGAGCTTATGAATAAAACCTGTAGATAATCAATAATTGGTATTTTTTTATTGTGTATAATTTTTATAAGTGAAAAGAAACTACATTACAAAACATAAGGTGAATTTTTCTCTTTATTTTCAAACTCAGGATGTGTGTCTTAATTTAGTAAATTTATATAATTTCGCATTTCGTTTATTGTTATCAATCGGTTAATGTTATCAATTGGTTAAAGTTATCAATCGGTTATTGTTATCAATCGCTTAATGTTATCAAAATCATTGTGTCCCAAAATTATCACATTAAGCAGTGACTACAGTAGCATCAAACCTATAGAATACAATTAAGTAAACTAATTTGGTAATAATAAATTTTTGAAATCAGAAAATCAATTAAATATTTGACCCTGCTATACAAGAGGGCCAAGAAGATAAAAAGCAGTTAAATAATCGACAGTAATTAAACAATTTTGAAGGGAAAACAATATTTCAGCTGCTTGTTGTTTCACACAAAAATTTGATTACTTATAATCTCATGAAAGATATTTGCATGAATTGATTATGATTAACTTGATAAAACCTTCATTTGTTATGTTCGTGTTCTGTGTTATTCAGTAATATAATAATAAGTTTAAAAAGTGCACACAATTTTTTCATCGATATTCAAATTTAACACTTGACTATTTTCTGATACTATACTGCTTTAAAATAAAATATAATCTAATTAAATTTATACTATTTAGAATTCCGCATGGATGCTTCTCTCTGCGTGTCTGTTGTGTGCAATGTGTGAATGTGGCCCACCCCATGAATGGGTATCTGTGGCAATGTGGCGTGGGTAATGTTGCTCGCCTTTTGACCACAGGGTGCTCACCAGGCAACGCAAAATGAGCAACACTTCGGTCACCTTCCATAGCGAAGAACGATAAGTTCTGTGCCTGTCGTTAAGAAGAAAAAAAAGCTCTTAAAACAATGAACTTACGACAAATTGATATTGATCAGTTGATACAAAGGTTAAACTCATTGTGGCCATTATTTTATTAAATGCATTACTTATAAAATTATTTTTTTCACTTGTTTTGTGCATTTTTTTTATGAGTTACAAAAAAGTATTTTAAATGATATTATGCATACAAACTTATGATAAAGTTACAAAAAAAATATCATTCGCTGATAGAAAAAATAAATAAATGAAAAATAAATAGAATAATAAGACAAACAAAAATAATCTGACCACTTCATTACTTCTAACGAAAAACTATCTCACCGTTCGAAAACTCAATCCGCCAGAACTTGTTTATGAAAAGCAAAAACTTCATTGAAAGCATTAGGAAAGGACTAAGTGCTCTTTCCCAATTAATCAACGTGTTCAGTTTATTTCGATCAGATAGCTCTCTTAAATCCGTCGCCTAAGTCAGAGAAATAAATTATTAACAGGGTTATAAAGCTCTCTTTGAAAATAGATTAATTGCTGACATGCACTGGCGTCGACGAAATGATATGGATCTTTTAATATATCAACGTTGGAGCTGTTTTTCGTTAACACTGTCCGCCCTAAATAAATTAAATGTAAACATGCGATAGTGCACGACTTTTGCGCAACCAGGTAAACAAGAAAAGCTACAAGAGATATAGTTGTATGTTGTCTAATTTTTCAGTATCAATAAAACCATTTATAAATATTTTGGACTTACAAAACTAAACAAAAAAAATCCAAAAGATTTTACACAACGATAGACAAAAGGTTGAAGTAATTAATTTCCACAATTGATCTAATTTTCAGGATAGATCTTAATTTCCAGGACTGATCTTAATTTCCATGATTGATCTAAATCTTGAAAATAATATGCGAATGATCAAATCGGTGTTCTCACTTCACCGACATGATCATTTCGACGACCTGATTATTTCGCCAACACGTCACCTCTCTCTGATAGTTCACCGACAGCTCATTTCGCCAACACAATCACCTCTCTGATAGTTCACCGACAGCTCATTTCGTCAACACAATCACTTCACCCCGAAAGTTTCGCTGACACAATCACATCTCATTTCGCGGCACGATCATTTTGCTCTTGACACTATAAATTCAATTTTAATTTATATTTTCTGATAAACTTACTATATTAATTATTTAAATTTTTACTATGAAAAAACTTTACAAAATTATTTGATATTGCATGTGCACTATTTAGTGGTAATCATAAATATTTTACTAAATAATTTCTTTATTCAAAAGTTTTATAACTTACATAGATATGAATCAAATGCCAAAAATAACAATGTGGTTTAACATTAAAAATTACCTCTTGTAGTGTAAACAAATTAAGCAAACCTGGAAGAAAAAAAATGCGAAGAAATGATAGAGTTGTCCTAAAATTTTACCGGATCCAGGAACCTTATACCAGGTGAAATTGTATTTTTACCTAGAATGATCCACGAATCCTGCAAAAATTCTATTTGTTGCCCGGCTGATTCCGGATACCCGGAAAAATTTTGATTTATTACCCGGCCGAGTCTGAGTACTCGGCTGGGTATTTAGCATTCATGCAAAATAATATAAAAACCGTATAATTTTCTATAGAACAAAATATCGTTTTTATAAATAAAACCTTTTTTATTTTAAGATTTTATTTTAAAAAAATTCGCTTTTTTTTTAAAAAAAAATTCGATTGATTAAATCCCAAGCGAAGAGAGGTGGACATAAAATTTTTATTTATCTAAATCATGAAATGGTCCCGAAGTTTGAAATAATATTGCAAGGGGCAGCAAAATCTGAGTTAGTCCCCAGGCATTGTAAACTCTAGCTACGCCTCTGATTGAACTTAGTCACATTTGATGATGACGTGTCATTTCGTCATGACGTCTCGTTTTTGAGACAATGCATTTTGCTCAAAATTGAGTATATTCTGTTTCAATTTTGAGCATACCAGTATGCTTGATAATGACTATATGGGTTTTCAAATTCGACAGTACTTGTTTCAGAGCAATTTTGACACATTTTTACTAAAGTTTAAGAAATTTGCAGCATAATTTCAATAAATAATTACGTATAAGTTTACTTTTATCTCTAATCAAATTTATTATTCTACCAGAAAAAATATTTACAAATGAAAGAAATGCCAAGCATAAATTCTAGTTCTAATATTTTTAAATAAAATATACAAGAATTTTGATACATAAATGTGATCGATAATTTCTCGAAACTTCTGGACCTTGGATTTCTGGAAATTTCCGGATCTCGGTTAGCGAAAAATTCTTAAATACGGATTTTTTCGGAGCACAATCATCTTAGGTCTCCAGAATTGCTGGAATAAACTTTACTAGTGCCACTAAACTCTTACTTTATCTAAGCAAACTCCTGATGCAACATTTATATCACTTGAAATGTTTACACTGGACTCATGTCCAAGAGGTCGGGGGTTAGATCCCTGTCGGCCGAAGACTCCCCGCGTAGTAAATGGTGACTGGTACACGTTAAATCTGCTGGGTCGCAAAGTCCTCCATGCTCCCATAACAAATCATACCTCTGGGGGTACTAAATTTGAGATTGATTTTTCTCTGGTTCAGGTCAAAATTACGATCTATGAACGAATGAATGAATGCATGAATGGGTCCGCCTTATAAACAGTTTGTGAGACGTGTGGGGCTGAAGTCGTATTCTTAGCCATAGATGGCGCCACTGAAAAACAAGAAACGTACCACTTGCCTTAAATTTGTTTGGTTTCACCCACCAAACAGGCTTGCTGATATTGGCAAGTAGCATTTGATATGATAACAACAATGAAAAAACGTGGCAAAAATTTGTTTCCCCAAATGTTGGTCTGTTACATTTTCCTTTCGATCATGTAAATTGAGACAGCAGTTAAGTTTAGTGAAAGTAATAATTCCATAAATTCCATTTGATAATAGAATATGCTGCATTTTTAAAGAAATATTATAAGTATAAAGGCATCTATAAAAATATGAAAATTTTTGTTTAGCTGTTACAACAGTATCTTTCAAACTATAGTTATTTTTAGAATACCTTTTAATAATTTCAGATAAGTATGGTTTCGAAAGTCACATATTAAACGTAATCATAAATAAATTTTTAATGTATTTTTAAAAAAATACTGTTATTTTTTTAAAATCTATAACTGTTAGTTACAAGCATGGCATGATTTAATTTTTTAAAATCAATAGCAAAGCTTGCTAGTGCAATAAAAAAAGTAACAAAACTAGGGTTCATATTAGAATTTTCAAAGTGACAATACATTTTCATTTTATGATGCAGAAAATGCAACAAAATCATTATTGTATGACAAATTGCAAATATAAAACGGTTACTGAACGGATTATTTAAATGTTTACTCATTAGTTGAGTTTTAAATACACTGTTTTATAGTATTGTATTATATTCATTAAATTAATTATATAAAGATTATGCACATTTGACGAAACTCAAGAGTTTTACAACAAAAGGTGGTTACTCCGAAATAGTGATAAATAACTGCCAAAAAAAATATTGGATAAAACTATAACAAAGAGAATTTTGGATGGAATTGTTGAAAATTGTTCCAGTAAAGAAATAATAACCAAAATTCGAATTTTGTGAGTCGTAATAACGAATAAGTTGTTTGAAAAATCACATAGAAGTAGTGATGAAGAAAAATTAATAATTGTCAAATAAAAAAAAAAGTATCGCAAAATAAAGAAGATTTACGGCAGGATGATCACAAACTGGGCATGTCGAAAAGTGACTACTCAAATATGAAATTCTCGCGCCGAACTTTGAAAAGGCATGTAGAAATGGCCCGAAAACAAATAACTGCTAAAAAACGAACGGTCTCTAGTCTAAGACTATTACAAGGTAACACTAGCATTCGATTCTTTTAACAAGCAATTCGCTACTTGCTAATCGACGAAATCGCGCCCTGATTACAAGTTACAACTGCAAGCCAGTTACGACTCTATTTAAACCTCGAACTAACTACAAGGCAAACAAAGAAAGAAAGCTTATTTTGATTTAAACAACGCTTCTTACCACAGAATATTCCAAACAAACAATTCTTTTTAATACACAATGATGAGGGTACTAAAATAACATCAGTTGGGGAGAAGAGCACTCACTGTGATTTGAATTCTTTCCAAATCTGTTTTTAACAAGAAGGCGGTTAAATGAAGACGGAAAAAAATTGCTTTTAACAAGCCATCCTTGATTCCTACCAAACATTCTCTCAAATTCGTGTTTTAGAGCTTTTCCGCAATAAAATCTATGAAACGACCTTGGCGATAAAAATGCATAGTCAATTGAGGAATGATATAATTGGATTGACTGGCATAGAGCTTAGAACACCTTGCGTCTACGGAATATAAATAGTGAGCGTGTTTCTAACGCAGCGTGAATTGCAGACGATATATATATTTTTTTCTTTTTATGACCTATCATAAAAATAATTCATGCAAAGATAACGAGTACCTTTGTCGAATAAACTAATTAAAAACTTTAGTCTAGCAATATCGTTGTTGAGTCGTAGATAAATTCATTGAGCATTAAATGAATACTAGAGCATAAAGAAAATTGGGTACGTATTCGAAAGACGAAAAAAGAGAACTTCTCAAAAACTATAAAAATCGATGTAATCGATATTTTTAAAATATCAGATAATATTTCTGTAAGACGCTAAAAATAAGAAAGTTCTTGAAGCTTAAAGCATGTAGAAAAGAAATAAAAATATAAATAAAGCATTTTAAGAACCTGAGAGAACGCAAGGAAAAAAAAGGAACAAAATTGCGAAATTTCCAGAACCTAAAAGCGCCATCTATAATAAATATTAAAAAAAGAATAAAGAGCTAAAAATGAAACGTTTTCATAACCTGAAAATCTATAATAAAAAAATTACTAACAAAGAATTGAACACTTTAAGAACCTGACAGTATGAAAAAGAAGAAAAAAAACTGAAAACTAAAAACAAACTTTAAAAGAATCAGTAAATCCGTATAAAAAAATTAAGAATCAAAAATGAAAAAAGGAACTTCTTAAGAACCAACAGTTTACTAAATTAAGAACCTTTCATGGATTTTAAAAACCTGTATAAATCTCGTAAATTATTCGTGCATTTTATAACAAATTTAAAGTGCAAATTTAATTAATGCAGCGCTTTACAGCCAGCTGTGCTCTTTGTCTGCAGGATTTATATAACTTGGAAAAATTCTATTACAAAACATTAATCACGAGAAAACTATTCAAGAAAAAATCTTAGTTCTTGATACGTTGTAATTTTAAAATTACTTCCAAATATGCAAAATAAGTTTTTACATATAATTTCTGAACATACACTATCTGTAAAAAAAAAGTGCTCAAACAGCGAGTTTTAGGGTCATTTACGATTACTCACATCACTCACTACTCACAACAATTAAGGCTCATTTTAAATACGAAGTTGAAAACATGTTTTTGGTTTAGTCAGGAGAGAGGGTGTTTTTTGGTCAGGCTTCTCAAGCTCAACTCTTTGAAACTAACAAACTAAAAGCATTTATTATTGTTCTACTACACTCTATAACAAAAAAATCGACGCACCAAGAAGCAATCATCCGATTGCTTTGAAATTTCGTATGCATGAATGTTTTGGCTCGG